TTATTGGTTCAATATTTTCTCACATTAATTGAAGAAATGTTATCTCTTAATTATGAGTATGCTTTTAAAATTGAATTCAATCATCAATTCATTTTTTCTTATACGGTGTTGGATCACCTAGATCCACACTTCGTATTGTTGGTTTACTCGAGGTTAAAGTGTACAAGTATATTGTTCACGTACAAAATATATTTTGTATTATAACTATAAATTTCTCACTTTAATTTTCAGTCTTACTATAGTTAAATTATGGATTTTGACGTAAGCAACAGGTGCATGTAAATTCATGTTACTCCCAATCTTAGGCGTTCGAGAATGAGATCATTACTCTTTCTGAGTTTATTTATGTGTTTTAGTTTTATTTTGCAGTCGATAATAAATTGTGTTTAATATATTAAAATACTATTTGAATATTATGATCTTTAATATGTAATGTTTATAGCATGTTGAGTATAAATGGTTACTAAAATATATAGAAAGTAACAATATTTTTTAAACAAGATTAAAAGTAAATGTAAGACAAATACTTCTTCCATTCACTTTCACTTGTCCAATTTGGACTTTGGCCGTCCTTAAGAAATACTCATGTAAATTGATGCATAGTATTAGATCTTGAGAAATAATTTAGGGAATAAGTAATTAAAGTTGCAGATACAAAAAAAGGTTTTTTTTGTTTTTTTTTATCTGATCAAAGTAACAAACATAAAAGTAAATATACATTTTTAATATAATAAACAATTAAAATTCAACGAAAGAGTAAATTAAAACGGATGGAGTACTAAATTTGGGATGTTTGATTAAGCTCAATATTGTCCATTCACTTGCGGTTTGCCCCTTCTATTCCCCTTTTCCAAAGTATAAATAATTGAATACATGCTACGCTATTTTGATCATGCATTAAAGCAAAGCGTAAGTTAAATCTATACGTTCTTCCTCTCTTTTTTTTTTTTTTTTGTCCTAGATTTTCAATATGTATATATGTTGAATTTCCTTCGTATTTTTGTATTTCTACGTTTTTATATTTTGAATCATCTTATTAAAAATCATAGTTTTATCACTACATTTCAATCATAATTCATACACACCAAAATGCATGTTATGTCTACTAAAAGTATAAAAGTGTTTTAAATTCTAATGAATTCAGTTGGAATTGGCTATACGAATCATTTATATCTCTTTTGTTATATTCAAGCTATTTTTCAAAGGTTCAACATAGAAAAATGTTAACCTAGCTGCTATAATAAAAAAGTCATCTTTTATTTTAGGTTTGGGATTAGCTACGTTTGCCTCAGGACAAAATGTTAATTACCTTAAATTTCTTAATCAAGAGTCTTGGCCACTCATTAGTCAATTTAACCATTTTTCGGTTTAATTACAGTTGTACTAATATATGATAAAGTCATAATAATTTTTTTTGTGAATGAGAATAGAGAAATGTGTCTGTTATTAATCTTTTTTTTCATCATAGACTCATTATCTATCTAGTTTAGAATTGATGCATTACTGTTTATTATACGATAAAGTCATAATAATACCTAAACTAATTACGTTGGTATGCCTTAACCTACATTCCCTTCCATAATTTCCACTTTAATGAAAAATAATCTCATTTAAGAAATTTATTTGTAGAATCTCATTAAATCATACTAACCTAAGATTATTAAATAGAATATCGTGTGTTCGCTCTTTACCATATATAAAACACAATATTTTAGTGAATAAGAATAGAGGAGTGTGTCTCTTATTGAACTTTTTCCATTATAGCTAGGCTTATTATTCAATAATATTGAGTTTCAAATAGTACATTATTAGTTGTTACATTCTTTCAAAATTTCTAAATTATCAAACAAAACGTCATGTGTTTGCACTCACTTTGCCACAAATAAAAACATGATATATTTTTTTAAGAAGGCAACTTATATATAGTTTTGAATCATACATAACTCATAAGCAATGTTTCAAAGAATCACCTTGGATGAACCCACATTTAAATATGGCCTTTGTGTACTTATCAATTTAATTTGTAAAGAGTATTGGTTCAATATTTTCTCACATTAATTGAAGAAATATTGTTTCGTAATTATGAATTAGCTTTTAAAGTTGAATTCAATCATAAATTCATTTTTTCTTATATGGTGTTGAAGCTAGATCCACAATTTGTATTGTTGATTTACTTGAGGTTAAAGTGTACAAGTATATTGTTCACGTACAAAATATATTTTGTATTATAACTATAAATTTCTCACTTTAATTTTCAGTATTACTATTGTTAAATTATGGATTTTGACGTAAGTATCAGGTGCTTGCAAATTCATGTTACTCCCAATCTTAGGCGTGCGAGAATGAGATCATTACTCTTTCTGAGTTAATTTATGTGTTTTAGTTTAATTTTGCAGTCGACAATATATTGTGTTTAGCATATTAAAATATTATTTAAATTTTATGATCTTAAATATGTAACGTATATCGCATGTTGAGTGTAAATGGTTACTAAAATATATAGAAAGTGACAATATTTTTTTAAACAAGATTAAAAGTAAATGTAAGACAAATATTTCTTTCATTCACTTTCACTTGTTCAATTTGGACTTTGTCCGTCCTTAAGAAATACTCATGTAAATTGATGCATAGTATTAAATCTTGAGAAATAATTTAAGGAATAAGTAATTAATGGTGCAGATACAAAAAGTATTTTTTATTTTGATTTGATCAAAGTAACAAGTAAAACTAAACATACATTTTTAATATAATAAATAAGTAAAAGTGAATGAAAAAGTAAATTTAAATGGACGGAGTACTAAATTTAAGGATGTTTGATTAAGCTCAATACTATCCATTCACTTGCGGTTTGCCCTTCTTTTCCCCTTTTCCAAAGTATAAATAACTGAATAAATGCTACGCTATTTTGATCATGCATTAAAGCAAAGCGTAAGTTAAATCTATACGTTCTTCCTCTCTTCTTTCTTTTTTTTTGCTAGATTTTCAATATGTATATATGTTGAATTTCTTAGGTAATTTTATACTTCTACGTCTTTATATTTTGAATCATCTTATTAAAAATTATGATTTTGTTACTGCATTTCATTTCACTTATACATAAATGCCAAAATGCATGTCATGTCTACCCAAAATATTAAAAGTGTGTTAAATTCTAATTAATTTAGTTGGAATTGGCTACACTGTTATATTCAAGCTATTTTTCAAAGGTTCATCATATAGAAAAATGTTAACCTAGCTACTATAATAAAAAGTCATCTTTTATTTTAGGTTTGGGATTAACTACGTTTGCCTCAGGACAAAATGTTAATTACCTTAAATTTCTTAATCAAGAGTCTTGGCCACTCATTAGTCAATTTAACCATTTTTCGGTTTAATTACAGTTGTACTTATAATATATGATAAAGTCATAATAATACTTTTTGTGAATAAGAATAGAGAAGCGTGTCTGTTATTAAATATTTTTCCATCATAGACTCATTATCTATCTAGTTTACAATTGATGCATTACTGTTTATTAGATGATAAAGTCATAATAATACCTAAACTAATTACGTTGGTATGCCTTAACCTACATTCCCTCCCATGTACTTTCCACTTCAATGAGAAATAATCTCATTTAAGAAATTTATTTGTAGAATCTCATCAAATCATATTAACCTAAAATTATTAAATAGAATATCGTGTGTTACCGCAGATAAAATACAATATTTTAGTGAATAAGAATAGAGGAGTGTGTCTCTTATTGAACTTTTTCCATTATAGGCTTATTATTCAATATTGAGTTTCAAATAGTACATTATTAGTTGTTACATTTTTTCAAATTTTCTAAATTATCAAACAAAATGTCATGTGTTTGCACTCACTTTGCCACAAATAAAAACATGATATTTTTTAATAAGGATAAAAGGAGCATCCCTGTTAGTAATGTTTTTCCCTTGTACTCATTATTCTTCAAATTTCAAATGGTGCATCATTTAGTTGTTACATTCTTTCAAAATTTCTAGCTTATTAAACAAACATCACGTCATGCGTTCGTATTCTATCTCATATAAAATTATGATATTTTAGTGAATAATAAGAATAAAAGATCGTGCTTATTATTTTTAAAAAATCATTGTAGACTCATCATCCCTCGAATTTTAAATGGTGCATTATTAGTGATTCTTCCAAAAATTCTAAATGAGGAAAAGTGATAAAAAAAAAAATCTTGAAAAAGAAACAAAATTTTGTCCTCTCAAAGTTTTTATACAACTTACTCACATTTTAAACAAAAATTCTATTTATAAATATAATGTCATGTTTTTGGCTTTCTGCCATGAATAGAATTATGATATTTTAGTGGTCAAGGATAAAGGAGCATGTCTATTACTAATTTTTTCCATTATAGACTCATTATTAATCGAATTTTGAATGGTGCATCATTATTGATTCACCCAAAATTCTAAATTATTAATAAAGAGGAAAAGTGATAAAGAAAAATATATCTTAAAAAAATAAAATCTTGTCCTCTCAAAGTTGTTACACTACTTACTCACATTTTAAACAAAAATTATATTACGAAACAAAACGTCATGTGTTTGTATTCTACCATGAATAAATTATGATGCTTTAGTGGGTAAGAATAGAATAGCATGCCTATTACTAATTTTTTCCATCATAAACTCATTATTCATGGAATTTCATATCAATATTTTTAAAAAGAAAAAAAAAATCTTTACCTCTCAAAGTTATATTATACTACTTACTAGCACCACTTCACATTTTTATTCATTTAAAGTATTTTTCTTTTTAAATAAATAACATGTACAGGCGCGTTGGACGGATATTTTAAACTTCCCCCTATAAAAAGGAGCATTGTGTTCATTTCCATTCAAATCAACACAGATCAAGTAATTTTCATTCGTTCTTCTCCGATCCAAAACTGAAAAACTAACCCAATACACATTTTCCCCAACTTATTGTTCTTGAACCAAATTCGTTAAAATTAAAACAAATAAAAAATGACTTTGAATTCGATTAAAGTGGAAGATTCATCTGGAAATACAAATGACGGAACAGAGGCTTCGTCTTCGTCTTCGCAATCGAACGGTGTACATAAGGTATGTTTGCCGCCTCACCGGACGACATTTCAAAAACTCCGGCATAGATTGTCGGAGATATTTTTCCCAGATGATCCACTTCACAGGTTCAAGAACCAAACGACGTTGAGGAAATTTGTTTTGGGTTTACAGTTTTTCTTCCCTGTTTTCGAATGGGGACCTAAGTATAATCTTATGCTTTTAAGATCTGATATTATTGCCGGCATTACAATTGCTAGCCTTGCTATACCTCAAGGAATCAGTTATGCTAAACTTGCTAATTTGCCACCTATTATTGGGTTATGTAAGTTCCACTTCCATCCCTCTTTTTTTTTTTTTTTTTTTGTTGTTTTTCCCTCCAAATTTTTTTCGCCACTAAAACAATCTTTTTTTTTTTTTTTGCTTGACAAAATTATACGGTGTATATATGTCAAATGTTACATTTTATATATCTGTATCAGCATTAGATATTGAATCTCCTTTCTCTGTTTGGAATCTTTATATTAAGGCAATTGTTGCATAAAGTGGTCATGAAAAATTATCATTTGTATATAGGTAAAATATATATATATACTTTTTGTGACGATTTAAGGCAATCAATGAAAAAATTTCATTTCTTCTAACACATGGTCACTGCTAAAATTATTACTTACTATATAGTTACGTAGAGGTTTGTTATATCATTAGGATTGGTAAGGTAAGGCAAGGCCTAGCCTCTCTTGTACTTATTCATGGTAAGGATTTTATTAATAAAAGATCGCTAGACGCTCTGTGTAGTACAAATTGTTTATTTTTTTCTAAAAAAAGCATGTTAAATGTTGCTTTACTTTTGTGACAACTAATACAATTGTCACGTAAACTCGTCGTCATGAAAAGTTCTTATTATTTTCCCCTAATTACTAGGGGTGTGCATTCGGTTTTTCGGTTTGGTTTTACACTATTCGGTTTGGATTTTCGGTTTTTGGTTTTGTAAAAATGTAACCCAATCCGATCCAAAATAAATTTGGTTTGGTTTGGTTTTCCTCTATTCGGTTCGGTTTTTTTCGGTTTGGTTATTCGGTTATGTCAATAATTAATAATATATATAACCAAAGTAATAATATTTAATCCCTTAAATATACTTTCTAATATAAATCATAAGTAAAACTTAAAACACACTACTTATAAGTATACCTATTATAGATGTAATTCAAACATAAAATATAAACGTAATCATCATGAAAGGCAATAACCAAAAAAGGACAAAAGTGGTTAACTCCAACTTAATTCTAAACCTAAACATTATATATATATATATATATATATATAATTCGGTTTTTTTCGGTTTTTATTTTTAAAATCCAAAACCAAACCAAAAAACCAAACAAAGTAATTTATTAATCCAAAACCAATCCGAAAAACCAAAAAACCAATCCAAATAAAAATTCGGTTTGATTTGGTTTGGTTATTCGGTTTAATCCGAATAATGCACACCCCTACTAATTACCTCTAAAACATGTTTGCCGTTAAAACTATTATTTACTAGGTAAAAATGTCACTTTTTGTACAATTAAAACTATTATTTACTAGGTAAAAATGTCACTTTTTGTACAAATTAAATTTAAATATTTTGTGGAGAACCTACCTTTACTTTTTGTGACGACCAAAGAATTGTCACGTAAAGTAATTCCCTAATGCATGGTCGCTACTAAAACTATTACTTACTATGTACGAATGTTGAATTAAATTTTGAATATCCCTAGCGAGGAAACTTAGTTTTTGTGACGCTAAGCCGATTGTCAGGTAAAGTCGTGATGAAAAAAAATCTCATTTCTTGTATTGTGTAGTGATTAATATATGTATGATGAAACTAATAAATTTTGTGTGACACAGATTCAAGCTTTGTTCCCCCATTAATATATTCAATTTTGGGAAGTTCAAGACATTTAGCCGTTGGACCAGTATCCATAGCCTCACTTGTGATGGGAACCATGCTCAGCCAAGCAGTTACATACAGCAAAGAGCCAGCTTTGTATCTTCAACTTGCTTTCACAGCAACTCTTATTGCAGGATGCTTGCAAGCTGCAATGGGTTTTTTCAGGTATACTACAATCTTCATTAACTATTTCCATTGTCAAGAGGTCTTAAACATATATAAATACGTGAAATGTGAGGGTTGCTCAGTTGGTTGAGGCCTTCCGTCCTTCACTTGTGGTGAAGGATCGAATCGAATATCTCTCCCTCTCCCGCCAAAAAATAAATGAAAATACACACAACAAAAAAAATGAGTTTTCAAGTGTAGGTAGTATTGGTTATGTTGTTGTAAAAAAATACTTCTTCATATGAGATTTGAGTATTTAATTTAAAGGTCTAAAATATTTCTTGTTGAAAAGATAGATGGTTTTTCTTTCTTTTTCTTTTATACTTTTTCTGTCTCAATTTATATGAGTTAATTTGACTTGACACAGAGTTTAAGAAAGAAAGTCTTTTGAATTCTGTGATCTAAAATGAGTCATAGATATTTGGGTGGTTAGAAATCATTTCATTAATGGTAAAATGAGCATTTTGAAGTTAAATTGTTACTAAATATAGAAATATGTCATTTTGTTGAGACTGAATTGAAAGAAAAGTAAGTCATATAAATTGCAAATTTCTCTAGATTTTCTTTGAGATGGAAATGGACTTAACATTCGATAACTTGCAGGTTAGGATTCATCATTGATTTTCTGTCGAAGGCTACTCTACTAGGGTTCATGGCTGGTGCAGCAGTGATTGTCTCTTTGCAACAACTGAAAGGATTGCTAGGGATAGTCCACTTTACAAACAAGATGGAAATAATACCTGTTTTGACCTCGGTTTTCGAAAACAGAAATGAGGTTAGAACCCCCCTCCAATAATGCGTTGAGTCATATATCACGAGGACCCAAAAAATATGTGTATTGATTATTTTGCAACATCTGTTTGCAGTGGACTTGGCAAACAGTTGTTATGGGTGGTTGTTTCCTCATGTTTCTGCTGACTGCAAGGCAAATAGTAAGTGTTTTTTGGCTTATGTGAATGAGAAAGTTGCATCTTATTGTTCACTTCTAAAACAATGTTCTTCCATACAACAGAGTGCAAGAAATCCAAAACTTTTCTGGGTTTCCGCAGCAGCTCCATTAGTATCAGTTATTCTCTCAACTGTCATAGTTTACCTAATAAAAAATGAGACACACGCGATTCCAACTGTGAGTAATGTTACATGCTTCGTTTCTACTTCCATCCCTTTTTCAATTTAGACGCGAGCATGAGACTAAATATACTTAATTTTGTTGCGCAGATTGGACACTTGCCTAAGGGGATAAATCCACCATCAGTGAATAAGTTACATTTTGGTGGCCCTTTTATGGCTCTTGCTCTCAGAGTTGGCATTATAACTGGAATCTTAGCGCTCACAGTAAGTGAAAACGAACTACTGTCTACTGCTAACATTTTATATCGTCAAAGAAAGAAAGAAATGCATCACGGAGATTAGTGAACTGACCTATATAACCCCTGCAGGAAGGGATTGCAGTAGGAAGGACATTTGCTGCTATGGAGAACTACCAAGTTGATGGTAACAAGGAAATGATTGCTATTGGACTCATGAACATAGTTGGCTCCTGTGCTTCCTGCTTTGTCACCACAGGTACAAACTAAGCAATATTCTTCTTTTCATATTTTGCTTTCACAGATCACGGGTTTTAGTTGTCTTTAGGGTGTCAAATAGGCGAGACAAAACTTACTTGAGCTGAAATGAACTAAAATTCAATGTTGCAGGGTCATTTTCTCGATCTGCTGTAAGTTACAATGCTGGAGGAAAATCTGTTGTTTCAAATATAGTAATGGCAGCAACTGTGCTTATCACCCTGCTGTTTCTCATGCCGTTGTTCCATTACACCCCTAACGTCATCTTGGCAGCAATAATTATAACAGCAGTGATCGGGCTAATTGATTATCAAGGTGCATTCCGTTTATGGAAAGTTGACAAACTAGACTGCATCGCGTGCTTGTCTTCCTTTTTTGGTGTTCTTTTCATCTCAGTGGCTATTGGCCTACTCATAGCAGTAAGCAGCTTCTCCTCATAAATCTCAATCCCTACCTCGACGTTTCTAACTTCTCATATCTAATAATGTACTATAATTTTTGTTCATGAAAACACTTCAGGTCGGTATTTCAGTTTTCAAGATCCTATTACATGTTACAAGGCCAAATACTAATGTCCTGGGCTACATTTCGAGTACTCGTTCATTTCAAAGCCTAAGCAGATACACCACTGCTGTTAGGATTCCTTCTTTCCTTATCATAGCTGTTGAGGCTCCTTTCTACTTTGCAAATTCTACCTACCTACATGAAAGGTAAGTTTAACCTTCAAAGTTGTTGAATATTTTTTACATTAGAGTCGTATCAACCAAAAGTTAGCAACTAATACAACTACAGGACATTGAGATGGATTCGAGAAGAGGAAGACAGGATCAAAGCCAACCAAGAACCACCAATCAAATGTGTAATTCTTGACATGACAGGTTGGTTCGAAAAACAGAACATATCTTCTGTCATGTTTTCTTTCGCGAGTAATCTAACATGTCTAGTAACAAAAAATTTGGGGGTTTCTTTCTGCAGCTGTGACAGCTATAGATACTAGTGGCATTGATACAATATGTGAACTTAGAAGAATACTTGAGAAAAGATCACTTAAGGTAAAAAAATCTTTCATCTGTCAAGCTTTTGTTTTCACGGTTTCTTTCTTTTGTTGATTGTTTATGCTTTTAATTGTCTACTGTTGCAGCTTGTGCTGGCAAATCCAGTTGGAAACGTTATGGAAAAGCTGTTTAACTCGAATGCTCTTGAGGCTTTTGGGTTAGACGGATTATATCTAACAGTTTCTGAAGCTGTGGACGATATTTCGTCTTCTTGGAAACCTGAAAAGGGGCCAGCTCAACCACTAACTATATGAGATTTGTACTATGGATGGAGAGAAGAAGAAGGATTAATAAACTGAAGTTTTGGGAGGAATTGATTTGTGTTCTAAGCTCTTCTAAGAAGAGAATTTTGATGTATATTATCTTTATCTAGGATGAGAGAAAGCATATCCATGAATGCAACCCTTGTTTGTATATAATAATTTAGGAAACCACTATCTATCTTTTTTTCTGTTTTGAGAATAACAATTATTTTTACTTGTCTGGAAAAATAAGAAGAAACTAAAAACTACTATTAAATATTAATCAGCAGATTACTCTTCACTGCCCTTCATCAATGTCTAACCTAGGTGTGGCATCAAACAATTTTCAATTACAGCATCAGAAGAACATTGACTGCAAGACTTATCATGCAATTTCAGATTAAAAAGTCTTCGAATAACAAAATGCTTTATGAATGCTTAAAATCTACATATACCTTGCCAAACACTGTCGTCCCATTAGAATTTGTTACGTCATTCTAAATCTCCTCAAGTTGTACATAAAATGTCTAAGCACAGCTCTGCTTAGCATGTTTCCTGTTCTGTTCTTCGATCTTCAAAGACAATCGACATGACTTTGCTGCCAGCAAAAGAAATAAATCTCCTCTATGAAGCTTTAGATGTCAGATCAGAAGAGAGACTTGTGAGCACCATCACAGAATCAGTAAGACAATTGTTCTTGCTGTTGCACTTCAACTCACTCAAACATCTACACATTTTAATCAGGACCCTATTTAGTTTTTGTCCAGACCATATGTCATTTGAACTTCCAATAGATGCAAAAAAATCATAATATACTAGAGGCATATAGTGGTGAGTCACTCTTCTGATATGTGTGATGACTAGTTGTCAAATTAAGATTTTCTTTTTTTGACAAGTAAAGGTAATTTTATTTCATAAAAAACAGTACCAAGATGATACAGCAGATTAGTACAAACAATTAGTTACTGGAACTAGATCCCTTATATCTGGAGGAGAATTCCAGCATAGCATCAAAAAAGGCATTACACCAAATCTTAAGATGCTGAATAAATCTATTATTTTACAAAACCAATGTTTCCTCCCTACCCTTAAAGCACCTACGATTTCTTTCAAGCCATATTGTCCACACGATACAAAGGGATTTGCTCATCCATGTCTTCGTTTGCCTTATCCTCACTGACTGACCCTGCCAATCATAATTTAGATTCTCTCAGTTCAAATTGAGATTTTCTATGAACAAGCCTAACAGATAACTACAATAAAGTCGAAGGAGAACTACAACAAATGGCAGCTAATATTCTTATTCTGTTTTCTGAAGCTCACTGTTGCACCATTATGACAAATGCTAAAAATATATACACTGCTTTTGGGAAGTGGGATAAAACCCGACCTGACCCTATTCAAGCTGAAAACAGAATTATCCAGTGTTGTTAAAAGCACATGTTAATTGCTCTATGTAATTTATGCCAAACTAGCAGTATGCCAGTATCCATCAACAGCACCACTTTCTTCTACTTCGCCTCACCTCACCTCCCCTTCTTCTTTCTGCCTTTCTATCAATTAACAAGTTTATTACTGCAACTATTGCTCTAATTTATTGGCAAATCTAGTGCATCACATATTTGTACCCAAATAACAGAGAGAAGCACAAGATGTTCATAAATCATACATGCTATCTCATTTTTAGCCTATAAAATGACAAGCTACAGTCTAAGCAGTAAGCACCCATGAAAGAAGTTTCACAAAGTCTACTAATATAGTAGAAGAGATTGACAAAGATCTTCATACTCTATAGTCTGTGCAATGGAAAAGAAAAATGAGGTGTTAATAACCTCTAGTGAGATCCAATAGCTAAAGCATAGATATCTCAAGCACTTCAACTTTAGAATACAAATAAATGATCCAAAACTAAAAGAGAAACAACAGTAGTTAGCATCATAATCAAAGAAGCAGCAATAATCAGGATCCTAAAGAAAAGACAAAATAGTGTGTAGAGTTGAAAGATGCCAGAACAAACTGATAGTGTTCAGGGCAATGATATGGAGAGATGATATAATGGGAGAAAGCTTTCTCAGTCAGAAATTATTCAAAATGGAGGAAAAGGAGCTTACTTGATCGAAATTTTGAAATTGGAATTTCGCGTAATTCACGTCTTATGCACAAGTATTCACCTAACAATGCCATCACTGCAAGCCCGGTAACATTCACAACCCACCACGTTATTGAAGAAGGCCAACCTCCATAGACAATACATATTAAAAGATGGACGATGTAGAGTGTTGCTGAAAAATCTAAGCACTTCTTTGCCCTCTCAATCAGATAAAGCAAAAAGGCAGCTCTGCATATTGCAACAAAAATATTCAATTATGCATGTTGAACCAGATTTATTGGAAAGTTAGGAAGTCGTTCACAGAATATAGATTTTCTCAGCGGCAACTAGCATGCGCATAAAAAGTCAAAATGGAAGTACAAATTAGAAAGATAAAAAGTATTATTTCCATATCATTGTCCACTCCTTTTTTGGCATATTTACGGTTGCATCTCCAATTTCTTTACTTCCCAAGTGTAAGTTCTTCACCGTTTCTTTTATCTTTTCCCCAACTCTTAAGTCCACCAAACATAAGAATAGAAGATATTGTAAAACGACTCAACCAGTTAAATAATTCAACGTCAATGATCATATTAATATGATGTAAAACACTGATCCAATCTCTTTAAACTCACACTGCTGAAAACATTATTATGTATGGACAATCTCTTTAAACTCCCATTGCTACACTTATTATGTATGGAGAACCTCACCAAACATATCAATGCCCAAAAAAAGTTAAGACTGCTTTCAATCAGTAATAGAAGACACAGTCAAAGATGACAATATATGATTTTCAGCAGGGAAGTCTTCCCAATTCAGATTCTTCTTTTGTTCCAGCTTGGGTCATGGGAAGGTGGATTTATGGAGCTAAACAATCATTTCTACTTAGTTATTTTCTTAACTATGCATCTATGCCCAGCATTAAGAATATTGTCCCAACATTAATTTAGATCCAAAAAAAAAAGAAAAAAGCAAAGAACTTGCTAAAACAAAAGCTTCAACTTTATGGAGAAGACACAAAAGAAGGAAAAAAAAAGCAGAAATCTCACCCTGCAAGTGAACTGAGAATAAATGAGGCAATGACGCACCATCCAGTGACGGTGGAAGCAGTAACAGTAGCATAATCAAAGAAATATACAAGACTAATTCGAGAAACACGAGTTCCAACAAGAATTGTCATGAATATCCCCAGCGTCAAATAGTATAGACATTGAAAACACACAATCTGCGCAACAATAAGCCATGGATCCCACACTGCCGTTCCATAGAACATGACTTTTTCGATCCTCTTTCACCAATAATTCCAATTCCTCTAAAAATTGCACCGAACAAACAATCAATTGATTGAGTAAATTCAAAGCAAAGAATAATTTAACAGCACTATAATCAGAAACCCTAATTTCGGCGGAAATCTGAGAAATTGAGCTGATGGAAAGTAAGATCAAAATTCTGAATCTGAAAAAAGAGCATAACAAGGATGAGTTCGGTGGCAATCGTCTCCGGTCTCCACCTAAACTCTTTTTCTTTGTAAAAGCATCGTCACAACCACATAACATTTTGTTTTATTTTATTTTTACATTTTTAAAGTTAAAATAAATTAAATATTTAAAATTCAAATATTTGAAAAATATTATAAATGAGTAATTTTTTTCCATAATAATACAACAACATATTAAGGAGATTTGACAAATGTGAAATGTATGCATACATTATTTCTGTTTTCATAGATAAAATTCATATAATTTGAAACAAAAAAAGTGAAAAATGACACATATTTTACGGCTTCATTGGCCTATAGACTTTTCGATGTTGAAATTTTTGAACCCGAAACCCATAAGAATCACTCCATTCCGATCTCTAGAACTCCCGATATGCTCAAAATATCAAATGAACACAGTTTGAGATTTTTATAACAGTACATGGCTGTTATGCACCAAAAAAACAGCAGTTGATATTTCACTAAAAAGGCCGCAATTTCCTCATTCTTTTAATTGGAATTACGAACATGAATATTTGATTGTTAGGTCTGCAAAGCAAAAGGGTTGGTAATTGTATTAAAGACATCTAATCCAAATAAATTTATTTTGTAGAAACTTCTCCAGAATTTTGTATTGCTATTGTTGCTGTAAATAAAGAGTTGGATATATACCAACATGTGAGACCGCATAGCGCAGTGGATTAGCGCGTTTGACTTCGGATCAAAAGGTCGTGGGTTCGACTCCCACTGTGGTCGACACTTTTAGCTGATTATTGTGTTTTCCACTTTTTGTAAGGAAAGATGGTGGTATCAGCTACATTTTCATTTTTATTACTGATAACATGGCACTGATAAAGTGCTTTACATTTTGTTACAATACAATTCATTCCAAATTTCGTGCATGAAAGCTGCAACATTGACTGAACATCAAGAGATGAGCCATTTGTTTCAGCAACTTCTCCCCTGGAAATGTACACTCAAAGTCACAATACAGCTTGTTCAAATGGCAATGTCCTAATTCCGGCCTCTCTATTAATATCGCAAACAAATGAGTCAGGGACAAAAAATTAAGAAGATTATGTCATTCAGAAACAGCCAACTATGACTCCTCTTGCTTAGCAGCAGTCTTCCTCCTCCTGGTAGTTTTCTTTGCTGTTACTGTTGCCTTTACCTTTTCCTTTTCCCCAGCTTCAACTTTTTCCTTATTCTCCACTGGAACTTTTACGGAGTTTATTTGGCTCCGTAGCCGCAAAATCTCACCTTTTGCTGCTGCCATTTCATCTTCCAATTTCTTTGCTCTCTTCTCAAGACTTTCGCGTTCCTTGCCAAGTTTCATCACCAGGCTATGGGCATCTTCCAAATTTTCTTGGGCTTCTTGTGAAATTTGCTTCTGCTCAGAAACAGACTGTTGGAGAACTTCTCTCTCGTCTTCGAGGCTAGAATTACGAGAAGTAGCAAGCTCCAGCTCCTCTGCAAGTGCCAACACATTTCGGTTAATCTCGTCAAGAGATTCTGTAGCCTTTTCTAACTCGTCTTCCAGACTCTTTCGTAACTCTTTCTCTCGTGTAATTTGAGACTCCAGAAATTTTAACTCTTCTTCCAGTGTTGCAACAATGCTCTTTTCTTGTTTCAGTTCATTAGCAGCATGTTCTGCTTTCTTATAGACATCAACTAGCTCTGTCTGTAAGTTATCACGATTTTCAGAAACAGCTGCTAGTTCATCTGACATAGTGTGCATTTCTTCATTTGTTTTCTTTAGAAGCTCCCTAGTAGAGGTCAGCTCAGTAGCTAAGAGCTCTGCACCTTGTTTTGTCTCATCAATGTTCCTCTGTAATGATGTCCTTGTTTCCTCCAATTCCATCTGAAGTTTAGAAACCTCAGCTTCAAGTTTGGAGCAAAGATCCCTCGACTGCTCTAGTTGTACTGTTATATCAGAAACTTCACTTTGTGAATTCTCAAGACTTTCCTGAGTGACTTCAATCTCTTCCTTCAACTTGTTTACATTGTCCAGCTCAGCATCCATCATTCTCCTAAGGTTTTCTTTTTCTCGAGTCAGATCAGCAATTAGCACTTCATTTTTACTTGCTTCACTTAAGGCAGTGCCGAGTTGTTCCTCAAGCTGGTGTAGTCTCTTCTCTTGTTCCCCCAACAGCTTCGCATCTGAAGCCACCTTCTCATCAGAATTGGACTTGAATTCACTGTATTCCTTTTGAGTAGCATGAAGCTCTTTTTTAGATTCATCTCTCTCAAGGAGCAAAGAATTTAATTGCACATTCAGGTTGTCTTCTGATACACATTTCAACTCCAGTTCTCTCTCTCTTTTCTGGATTTCATCTTTAAGTTCTTCGATTTCTGAAGTCAAATTCATCAGCTGATCCTGGGATTGCTGATACATAGAGCTCAAACTATTTACCTCCGATTCTTTTTCAGTTAGTTTAGAGGTGCTACTCCGAAGACTCACCTCTTTATCTTTGATCTCTGTAGTGAGCAAAGTAATCTTTTCTTCAAGAACTTGTATCAAATCAAGCTTCTCTTTAAGCTCTTCCTGCAATTTCTTCTTATCCTCCTTCGTATGCATGAGGTCATTTTGAAGGTCCTTGATCTCAAATTTGAGCCCTTCAGCAATTTTTTTTTTGTTTTGCAGCTCCTGACCAAGACTTATTACTGCAGTCTTCGCCGATTTAAACTGATTAACCAGAGCTTGCCGCTCTTCACCTTCTCGCCTAATTAGCTTATTTCGATCTTCCCTTTCGTTCAGCAATTCAGACTCAAGTTGCTTCTTCATTGAAACAAATGCATCTTCCTTGTCCTTCAGCTTATTTTTCATCTGAGTACACGAAAGCAGATCTTAATTAGTAAAAGCAACCCAAGAAACTAAAACTAAGTCTTTCTGCCTATAATCTTACAATTTGAAATGAACTTTAAGCTAATAGTCTAAGCATGTAAAGATCACTTGCAGGTGTTTTATGTTTAAATTGTTTGAAACAAATTCAGGCCAAATGGTGACTAATTCAGACAAGCTTGCACCCGCACCCGCACCCCCACCCCACCTTAAAATAACTATATTCTGCAGTCTCTACTGAGAAAAACGTTGCTAAAAATATATTGTACTAAGAAATGTCTCTAATAAAAATGTTGCTAAGAATATTTTGTACCTTTAGGTGCAACAATTGCATCATGCAATAGATAAGCAATGTCGGTAAGATTACAACTGACAAAAGATATAGAGAGCTTACAGATTCAATGGTTGCATCTGAAACTGCCTTCTCATTTCGAGCCAAGGCATAAAGAGAACCAAGCACGCCTGAACCAACAACACCAAGTCCATTAAGTAGAGAAACGAAGGGAATCCCTGCACTTCCTTGGATTGTTTGCTGGTTACAAGAAAGTATTGACTGAGAGCATATAAAGCTGAGGAGAATGTAGAAATGCAAGTATACCAGAATTTATTGTCTCAATCATTTTTCAAGGAAATACTAGGTATAAATTCAGACCTCTGTTTCCTCTTTCTGCGGCTGCCCTTGAGAATCTGTATAGTATGAGAGCAGAGTTAGTCACACTGGGAAAGGTTTCAGAGGTTATAGGGGTATAAACTCTTCACTAATCTAAGTACTAACTAGTTCGCAGTATCTGGAAAAACCTTTCAGATATTGACCACAATCACAAATAACAAAATGTAAGTCATTCCAGTTAATCATCAGGAAAATTATGCTATTTATTACTAGTCATTTACCAGAACAACAAAATACAAAGCAAAAGAGATAAAATGCACTCACTTCTGATAAATAAGCCCAGTAGTGAATAACTATGGAAAGAAGCAATGTTATCTCTGTCTCTGATATGAATATGTACTTCCTTATGCTACGTTTACATCTCCTCACCGCAACATTCAGAAGCATTTTCTTATGCTACATTACCATCTCCTCACTGCAACATTTAGAAGTGTATACTTTCACCATGACAGCCAAGGTGAAAAACGTTATCACACACAGGACCCCACTCTTCTTATCCAGATGCAGTTAACTTGCACTCTCATCCTCCCTTTTTTCCTTCCTTTCTCTCTCTCTCGTGAAATAGCAATCAGGATCGAGTGAAACAATAAGAAGAGTACTGACAAAAGAATGATGGAATAGACTCATAGATTCATAAGCGGGGAAAAGTTTCTAAGAAAATTAGAAACAGAATTTATTGGCAGGGACATCATTGATAATCTCAGTACTCTTAGATTTAACTAGAAGCAATTATTAATGGCTTTTTTTGAACTGTAAGCATTAATTTGCACATGAAGGAAGAAAAAAATTGGACAGCAAGCACTTGTGCCTCCCAGAAGTAATCTTATTAATAAAGGGGAAAACGGGAGATATCTAATCCAAATCTGAAAGGAAAATGCTATTTAGGAAACAAGTGTAATGACTATATACTATTTAGAATGCCTAAACTTGGACACTTAGGTTAGGAAACCATTGTCGATTCCAGAATATCTTAAACAACATTCTTCTCAAATACCTTTCAGAGGCAAGATAATATATTGGGCATAACCCTTAAGTCTGTCAACTGTTGACGTACTTTAGTTCCAGTGATAATAATAAGTTCAAAACCTCACATGACTCGAACTGAAAACTGCTGTTTTTCAGCCAATGAAACAAGAAAATAAGCACTTGAAATTACTGCAACCATTTTAAGTGCCAAATCAGCAGACTACCATACCTTAGATCTACCTAAGAATCGCCCAAGACTATATATCGGGGACAACCCTTAAATTTGCCAACTGTTAACATACATTAGTTCCAGCAATAAGAAGTTCAAAACCTAACATGACTCTTAACTGAAAACTGCTGTTTTTCAGCCAAGAAAATAAGCACTTGAAACAAATGCAACCATTTTAAGTGACAAATCAGCAGCAGACTACCATACATTAGATCTACCTAAAGAATCGCCAAATTTTGTTATCATTAATTTGAAGCATCTCAACTGACAGAAAAAAGAATAAATGGCAATGAAGGTAAATCCCTAAAATTAATAATATATTGTTAACTACAGTGAATTACTTCAAGAAAGTCGTATTGGTTACCATGAAGTCACTGAAATGGACCTAGCTTTCATCATATTCATGGATTCTACAGACTAAACACATGGCAACTAAAAGAAAGTAAGAACCCTTTGCTAAATCATCTTGTCATTAATTTGAAACATCACGGATAGAAAAAGAGTAAATGACAACAAAGGTAAATCCCTAAAATAAGAATCCATTGCTAACTATAGTGCAATAGTTGAAGAAATTCGTACTGCTTAACATTTAAACCGACACAGCCTTAATCATATTCATCCATTCTATTAACTAAACACATTTTGACTTAAAAGAAACGGAGAACACCTTCGCTAAATCATCTTGTCATTAATTCGAAACATCACAGATAGAAAAAGAGTAAATGACAACAAAGGTAAATCCCTAAAATAAGAATCCATTGTTAACTATAGTGCAATAGTTGAAGAAATTCGTACTGCTTAACATTTAAGCCACTTAAATGGACCTAGCCTTAATCATAATCATCGATTCTATTAACTAAACACATTTTGACTTGAAAGAAATGGAGAACACCTTTGCTATATTATCTTGTCATTAATTTGAACTGTCATGAAGGTAAATCCTTAAATAAGAATCTATTGCTAACTACCGTGAATTAATTCAAGAAATTCGTACTGCTTAACATTTAAGCCATACCTAGCTTTTATCATATTCAATGGATTCTATTAACTAAACACATTGTGCCTTTGCTAAAAAATATTTTGTCATTAACTCGAACCCTATAAATCACAATGCAATTACTTCAAGAAATTCATTGATTCTACCAATTTAATAACACATTACTACTTAAAGAAACGGAGAACTCTTTTGATTCTTTCAACTCAAAGCAAAGGGGCAAGAATGATTAACCTGTTGACAAGCCTTCGAGAGCTCTTGCCCTCAAATTGAGAAGTGGAAGAACTGAGAAACCCACAAAAAGAACCGTTCTTCTGTTGCAGAAATCACTTTCCTTTTGATTTTCCGAGTGCAAACTTGCCATAACCGGCCTCTTCTTTCTACATCTTTGGGCATTTATTGGGCAAGAAAGCAAAGGTGTAAATTGGGAAGAACATAATGAAGTAGATGAAGCAGAAAATGGAGAATGAGGAAAACAAGAAGTTGCCATTATTAAGTTAGTAGATTTCTCTTGATTTCAACTCACAAAAAGTGATAAAAAGAAACAGATTTTCAGAGGCCAGTGATTGCTCTTATATGTTAGTACTAAAATTAAAAATTTTGAGGACCAGATTACCCTTGCTTCTAATTGTCCCAACTCCTTCTACTTCGGGAGATTTCAGTATTTTAAACTCTTTGTACTCCCTCCAAATTTAGATTTATAATTATGCATAATCAGATAAAAATTTACAATTTGGGGTAGGTAAAATTCGGGTAGAGATTATAAGATGGAATTGAATTTACTAATAATGCGAAAATTTAGGTCAAATATATTTCCATCGTAAAGATGAGCTATGGGATTAATTGAGTGGGTAGATTTTGGGTACAAATGGATTTTAATTATTTTTTAAAGAAAAAAAAATAGAGAAATGTGATGATTTTTATTGATTTCAATCAAGTATTCGATATTCATATTGAGAGTAGAGCTATCAAAAACGGTCATCCCAGCTCCACTGGGCCCAAGCCTCGAGTGCCAAGCAATTTGAAGGGCTAGGGTGGGCTGGCCCTTCATTTGGTAGGGCTTGAAAATGCTCAACCCAACCCAACCCTAGAAGGGCCGAGGGCTAGGGCGGGCTAGCCCTTCTGTTTTTCTTTTTAAATTTTTTTTCTTTTCAAACTTATAATTCTATAACATCAAAAAATGAAAAGATTTTCAAATCAAATATGACAAACAATGATGCTGTTTCAATAATACTAACAAAAATCTAGTGTAATTAGCATGTATCTCGCATACTGGATATACGAGTGAGATAAGAGAGTGACAAGCAAGATAGGAGGGAGCCGAGGGCGCGAGATTTGTATATGTATCCTAGACACATGCAAATCTACTTGGATAGAGTGTATCTAGAACAAATTAACCCAATTTTGAGTCCATGTATTTCGAGATACTATCTGGGTACGAAGATTTATAATATTACAACCTAGCGTGTATTCAAATAATTAGATTATATACTAGTGAGATTATTGTAAATTACTCTTAAATAAAAAGTTTTGGCCCATGGGCCAACCCCGTCCTAGCCCCGATCAAGCCTCAAGGGCCAAGGGTTTATATGGGTCGAACTTATAAGCCCTAATTTTAAACGGGCTTGAAAAATCTTATCTCAACCCTACCCCAATAACGGGTAGGGTTGGGCCGGCCCCATGGGCTAAACCCATTTTGACAGCTCTAATTGAGAGTAATTAATTAAATTTAGATTTTCTTCGGCTAGATAGTTTTGCATTTTTTTGGTTGGGTAAAATGTTCACTAGTAAACGTGACTTTATAGCCCTATTAGGTTTCATGGCTAAAAGATACTTATTACTCCACTACAATTTTTATAGATTAGATGCTAGATGTATGATATCACTCGCATAATAATATAGTGATTTGAATTTCGAGAGTCAAATAATATACTCCCTCCGTCCCATTTTATGTGGCAACATTTCCTTTTTGGTCAGTCCCAAAAAGAATGTCACATTTCCTTATATGGAAAGTATTTGAATGTACAATTCCTTTTTTACCTTTATTGGTCCCACTTAATCTTAAAATAATACTCCAATACATTTATGAGGAGAGAGAAAAGTGAGTCTACTTTTTAAAGGGCAATTTGGTAAACATTTCAAAGTCTTCATTTATTTCTTAAACTCCGTGCCCGGTCAAATGTTGCCACATAAAATGGGACGGAGAGAGTATATTTTTTAATGGTAATATTTAGTGCATATTTTCTCCTAGACTATAATAGAGCTATATGCTAATTAGGGCTAAAATTTAGAAAGCATAATGTCATACATAATTTTACATTCAATCCACGTAATGAAGACCATGTGTCATTTTGATGAATATATGCCAAATGACAGTGGGAGCACCTTTATCCATAACCTTATCATTTTTTCCTCTTTCGAATCTAAGCCATTTTCGACATGAGCCTAAATAATCAAATGCATGATAATGTCGTTGTCGACATTTAATAAGTAGTTTTGATTATATAATTTGAAGTTAAAAATTGAAATATAAAAATTAAGTATGTTTTTAATATTTAATGTGTTTGAAAGATACATTTTAATTTAAAAAATATTTGATTTTTTGTGAGGAAAAATCAAATGTAATTTCTCCAATCAACTATCTGAACCAGTTTTTGAAAATTTGAATTATTATTTTTAAAGATAAATTCTTAAAATTTGATTCAAAATTTTTAGTCCAATAAATTTTTAAAATCTAATTCAATATATATCCGCCTAATTCTCTCGTGAGATCACATGATTCACATATGTAGTAGATATACCTTTAATTGTTTAACTTGTAAAAATTGTGACAAACTAAAATCATCTTAAGTACTCTAATTTATATTCATCCTTTTTAATCAAATGGTCCCTTAGGTTTGGAGTAATTTTGTTGTACAAATTAAGCACTTCTAGATCAACTGACAATACTCGATCTAAAATGGCTCACTTAAAAGAAGTAACAAAAATACCATATGTGTTCCACACCATTAAGTCTCAAATGAGTTTTTCTTATTAAAAAATAAATTAAAAAAATTTAAGCGATTCCCTATTTTTCCGTTTTATTTTTTTTTAGAGCTGAAATTGGACAACAAAAAGATTAAATTAAATTGGGTAAGAAAACATCTTTATTGAGGTCATTTATGTTGGCGTTTACTTGATCTTAATTGGAATTTTTTTAAGGTACAACAAAATATTTATTATAATTGATTTTTATTTTTTTTCTTAAAAAGAAAAATAGTCCTATTTCTCCGAGGAAAATGTTTTGAACTTGGTTCTTAGGGTTAAAAAACTTTGTTCTAACTTCTTTATTACAACTAGTGTATATTGTCATCTCCTTCCGTATATATGAATGTACCTATTTCAATTTAAACAAACAATGTTATAAATCCCTAATTTATCGTCATGCAACGATAGGAAATCCTTTTTTTAGAGAGCCAATGCCTTAAGACAGACCCTAATAGCAGTTGTCGCCTACTTCACTGAGTTGTGGTTCTAAAAAGAAGTTTATTAATTACTTTGCTAGCTCCTGCACAATACCGTTGACTATCAATGGCCTTTATATGTTGCATTCAATGAAAGGATTCAAGCAATTAAAAAAGTACTTAATAGACATAACAAACCAAGTTTTCATACAAACTGAACGGAATTGGAAATAAACGAGAAGAACATATATTGATCAACTGCAAAAATTAAACATGCATGCAGTGACCCTTTTAGGCAGACTAGATGTTCTTCTTCTTAACTAACATTACATAACTTAAATTAACATTAAAAAAAAAAAGAAAAAAAAAAGGACATGAATGTCTATAAGCTGATCAACGGCTATCCCCAATATAATGTAAAACTCCACTTTCACTTCCGAGCTCTCATCATTCTTCCTTGCACCGGCACCCGCTGTTCAAAGTAAGGCACCACATCATTAGATCTACATTCGGAGCTACAAAACTCCGTATCTCTGCTCAACTACAAACATATAGTATTTATTATTATGATTCAATATATAAATTTATATGCATGTATATATATATTGCCTGTGGAAGAAGATTTCTTCATGCTCTAGGCTCTTTTTGCAGATTTTGCATCTCCGTATTTCGCGCTGCAAATATTTTTCCTTATATCCCAGCAAATGCACATGATTTTGTTGTTCTGCTCTTTGACGAAGAGTATTACAAAGAGTTTCAACATCCTCCTGAAACTCCAACTCACAGTCCATGTACCTGTATTTATATAATATATTCAGAGTATCAGAAAGAGATCGAGATATATAGTATTAAAATAGACAGATATCCAGTAAATTTCTACCGATGAATAACTCGGTATCTAGGAGAATGAATCACAAGGCGAGTGTAGTTCTCAGAATTTTGAACATCTTCAAGTGAAATGTAGGCGGCATGACCATGATTGACGCACTTAGCAAAGGGAGTCAAACTCATAGTTGGTAAGGGTTTGGAGGAAGCCAAAAGACAAGGTTGCAGAGAGTTAATAAAACCATGAGTCAAGCTTGTAGTAGCAGCAACTTCTTTCTCAATTACGACACGTGATCGTGCCCTAAACCCATCTAGAATTTCTTTTCTCCCCACATTCACTGTAGTATCAATGAACCTTTTTATAGTTTCTGCCTTTTGCTCAGCTGAATTTTCCATGAAGATGTATGAGAGTCCAACCTTAGACCATCTGTCACACAAAATTCATATATACAAGTTTTATTATCATCATGATTATACATACATATAAACAATCCATGAGAAGGGGTAACACAACAAAAATGCAACCAAAAGAAGAAAAAAACATGAGTTTATGATGTGTTTGGTACGAAAAAAAATTGTTTTCCACTGATTTTCTTAATG